TTTTTTTTTTTTTTTGTGTGTGTGTGTGTGTGTGTTAAGATGGTCTAAGGTTTAACGAGTAGATCTTATATATTTTATGAAAAAGGATACATATTTATATTGAAGAATATTGTAGTTTTATATGAATATTGTAGTTTTATATGTTATTTTTAAAATAAATTAACAAGTATCAAATAATACATATATGATAGAAGCAATATGATTGTCCAAACTTGTGCAACAAAAGCCTTCTTTGATTTTTTGTATTACTCGTGTATTATTTCAATTTCTACACTTGCCTGTCAATATATATAAGATAAGATTCTTTAAAATTGTCTTCCAAAAACAGGTTTTAATTGGTCAAATTCAATTTTAGATGTTAAAACACTTTAAAAGATAATTTGTCAACTAGTACTCTCTCGAAATAGGAAAAAGAAGAAGATCTGGGCAGCCTCCTCGCCTCCGCGTTAGCCGCTCCGATCTTACTTGCTGTTGTCGACAATGGTGCTGACGACATCACCAATTTCGTGTATGTGAGATCTCGACCGAGAACGTTCGACGTTGTCAGCGGCGGGGATGGGCCCATCTTGAGCTCATCTCTTTTGTCGTCGGTCGACTGGGTTGTCGCAGTTTAGGGGATGGTGATGGCGGCCTTTTCTCGTTCGATTGTGTCTCATTTTCGGCCGCTTTGGAGGGTAGATCGAGTCCGAAGTTGCTAGATCTGGTTAGCCTTCACCATCTCGGAGTCAGGAGTTTTTGGATCTGTTATTTTTGGGTTGTGGTAGTGGTCTTTTTAGTGTGTGAGACTTCGATTTGTTGGCTCGTATGGTGGCGTTGGCGAACTTTGTTGGGAGTCGGAGAGGGCTTTAGTTTATAGTTAGTTTGTTTTTAGCTAGCTTGTTCTTATTTTTATTTTGGTGTTTTTTGGTTGTTAGTCTCCCTTGTGGGCTTCTTAGTCTTCTTTATCGAGCAATTAGTTTCCTTTATGGAGTTTTCTCCTCTCTTGTTTGAGAGCATAAAAAAGTGGGTCAGGGTAGTAGAGTGCGCAACACGTGTAAGAACACAAAATATAAGCGGAAGCGGCAATTAAAAAATTTGTCTTGGGGAAGCATCTCACTACCTCAGAGCTCTTTCATTAGTAAATTGATTGCCTCCTGCAGTATATAGTTTGTAATTACAAGTATAGAACTCATTCTTAAATCTACCACAACTATACACGATCTTACTAACTACTTCCTTGGCCATAATGTGGACTAACAACTATTACAAGAACCTCTCCAAGATGAAATAACCAAAAGTACAAAGTCCTATGCTTCAGTCTTTTAGAGATGTTGGAACACAAAACAGAAATTCAAAAACTGAGAGCATGTTTGTTTACAAGAAATCTCAAAAAAAAAAAAAAA